TGGAAACACAGCTTGTAATATTTGGTTTTAATTCGGCTTTTATCGGGGTTTATTTTCTGTATTTTTGTATTTTGTAATTTTTTGTATTTTGTGTTTATTATTTGTTTTTAATATGCTGTGAACCGCCCTGAGTCCTATGGGAGAAGGGCGGTATACAAATTAAAATAATAATAATAATAATAATAATAATAATAATAATGCTGACTAGGATAAGAGCCATAATGTAATAATCCAAAAGGAACGGGACTGGGATGAAAAAGTCTATATAAATAACTTTTTCAGATTTCAACATGCTCTCCAGCCATTAAAAGGTAAAAACCAGGATTGTACATGACTCTTGAAGGCAGCTTCCTGCTGATGGCTCCGGTTTGCAAAATACTGGCAGGCCCAGCCACCCTGCATCAAGGCTTGATATGCTGCTTCTAGGTCCTTGCGCTTCCGGAAAGCTTCTACTGCCTCCCGTAAATGGTGCTTCCTCCTGATGGCTGGGAGTGGGCTATAAAAATAAAAGAGGAAGAATTTATTTTGTAACATATTTTTTTCCTTCTTTCAGGTAGTCTTTGACTTACGACCATTAGTTCAGTAACCTTTCAAAATTACAACAGTGCTAAATGGACAAGTTATGGTTGTTGTACCCCAGCAACCATAATTTTGTGTTCAAAATTCAGGTGCCTGGCAGCCTATTTGTACTAGCAATCACAGAGGCGCTGCAACTCCCCCCATTTACCTATCTCTCCCATCTCAGCTGCGCAACAGTGCTTGCTGTAGCACAGGAGGCCTCTGCCAGATACACAGTCCACCAACAATCAAAATTTTGGTCCCAATTGTGGTAAGTCAAGGACTACCTATACCAGGGGTAGGCAACCTTGGCTCTTTTATGACTCGTGGACTTCAACTTATTCTGGGAGTTGAAGTCCACGAGTCATAAAAGAGCTAAGGTTGCCTACCCCTGACCTATACTCTCTATCCTCAGCACTTAATATCCAAAGATATAAAAACCTATTTATCTATCTATCTATCTATCTATCTATCTATCCATCCATTCCCACTTTACAATCTTAATTTTCAGACTTATTCCATCTCCATTCCTACTTCTTACCTTACATTCATTTTATGAGTCTTAAAGCCAAGGTAGGAGTCAAGAATTAGCGTTGTGGCAAGGTCATCGTTCTCACATAGTTCTTTTGCAGTTAACCGAGTAGAGCCCATCTTCTTTCTAGAACCATGCTGTTCTCAACTCTGCTAGCCACAAGAGAGAAGCAAGACAGACAATTAAAGTAAAATACAGAGAAGTGGGGAATCTGAATGAAAACTTCAATAAAAGCAGGACTATCAAATATTAAAATAAGTAGACTCCTTATGACCTCTACCATAATTTAACTTGTTATTTGCACATACACTGAGATTTCTTTTTTCAAGAAAGTCAACCTTTATTTGAATGGTTTTAATAAACTAAAATTAATTTAAAAACTAAAAAATAGCATTTTGCCATATTTGCTCATATTGTTTGTACTATGTTGATGTTTCCATTGTGTGCTGCAATTTTTATAACTAAAGTATAAGCCAAGAAACACAGTTTTTATGCCTGTAGGTTAATCAGTAACAAACTGAATTGATAAACAAAAAATATTTCATTATGCTTTATATTTTATGTAACTTTTTAATATTGTGACAAATCTTCTAGTGCCACTTTATTAAGCTTGAGGCTCATGTAACTTTCATTTGATCTGATCTGATCAACAAAACAAAATTCTCCATGGCCAGGGGGAGAGGGAACATAATACGAAATAGTATCTTAGAAAAATGTTTTTAAATCATACTATATAACTCAAAACATGAAATACAAATATTTTTATGGAGGAATGTAGACTCTAAAACAGTGGTGGCGAACCTATGGCATGTGTGCCAGAGGCGGCAAACAGAGCCTTCTCTGTGGGCACACGTGCTATTGCCCCAGCAGAGTTCACCA